ACATGTAGAAAAGACCTTTCGTTTCCCTTCTGCAGAGCGTGTCCTAAGAATAGCTGACAGAATGAAACCATAGGATACCAGGACGACTAGTACAGTAAATACTTCAATAGAGCCAGCAATGTAAAAGAGTAGAAGCTGGTTCCTGTGAGTGTCAGAGCAAGAAATCGCAAACAGAGCAGGGATATCACAGAAGATGTGTTGGATGACATTAGGCCCACAGAAGGACAGGCTGAAAGTGGCCCCTGTGTGCACAGTGGCATGCAGGATCCCCCCGAGGTAGGACGCAGTGATGAGTGACACATAGACCCTGGGTGTCATGCTCACAGAGTACAGCAGCGGGTTGTAGATGGCTACATAGCGGTCATAAGCCATTGCAGCCAGGACAAAACATTCTGTGGTCCCGAACGTTACAGCAAAAAACATCTGTGCTGCACACCCAAGGAAGGAAATGACTTTGTTCTCTGACATGAAATCCACCAACATATTTGGGGTAATAGTGGAGGAAAAGCAGGCATCCACAGAAGACAAGGCACTCAGAAAATAGTACATGGGGTTGTGCAGCCGGGAATCCCCAATGACCAGCGCAATCAGCCCTAAATTTCCAATGAGAGTATGAAGGTAAATTGCTAGAAATAGGAAGAAGCAAATGGTCTGTAGCTCAGCATTGTCAGTGAATCCTTTCAACACAAATTCGGTCACTTCAGTGAAATTCTCCAGGCCGACATGTCCCAGGAGAAACCTGAAGATAATCATACACTGAAGATCATGTCACTAGGAGAGAATGAACCTCACTGTAACCATAAACAAGGGGAACTGTGTCTATCTAAGTATTTCTGTATACACACGTGTGTATGTATGCATATGTGTGTGCGCACACTGAATATAATTTCCCAGCAAGAGATACAAATACAGTAACAAGTTAGTGAGAGGAGTGCTCATGTCCTTCACTGCACTGTCAAGTGCAAAACATACGTGTTCACATAGGTAATACCCTAGCGCCACAAATCCTAAATATCAGGTCCACTGATTAATTCCCCTGAATTGTATTAGCTGGTTTCATATTAAGTCACATTAAAAGACAATGAGTGTTCAAAAAATTCCTTTCAAGAGCTATTATATCAGTGTAGAACATTGAGGTAGAATCACAACTCTGTCATCAAATGTGCAGTGTGATTTAACCAATCATCTTTAGACTTTAAAGAATTAATATTTATTTTATAAGATGACCATCATATTTGATGGAAAATTACTTTATAAATTGAATCTTTCAAAAACTATTTTATAACATAAGCTAAATTTGTTGACTTTACTATTTTAAGAGGATGAAGTCAGTGAAAGACATTTTGAATTATGATTTTGTTTTTCTTCCATATATATGTGCATATGATCTTTTAAAAATATTCATGAAATTTACCACAATTATGCTTTGTACACTAGAAGGGGCTTACATTTCCTTTGAATAATAAGAGGTTTTAGTTAAATTATCAGAGTAATATTTTATTAGCTGATAAAATAAAAGGTATACTGTTATAAGAAAATTAATATTATCACATATTCAAATGGTTCAGAGTTTTGAGGAGAAATTATATTGATTCTTGATGACTGAATATTAAAGGATAAATTTCAAAAGTAAAAGTAAATCTATTTCTATAATTTCTACCTGAATTTTATGATGAAACACTAAATTTGAAATATTTGCAAAACCCTAGATTTGCAAAAGACAAGAGAAATAACAACAGCCACTAATTGAGAATTTGTTACAGGAATTGATTTTGTGCATATTATTTCACATTTACAGAAACTTCTCTGATTAATAATTTCAGAATTAACCTAGGCATGGTGGCACATGCCTGTAATCTCAGCAGTCAAGAGGGTGAGGCAGAAGGATCACCATGAGTTCAAGGCCAGCCTGGCCTACACAGTGAGTTCAAGGCCAGAGTGAACTATATAGTGAAATTGTGTTACAAAAAACAAATGATAATGATAATAATAATTCCAGGGTCAAGACTGAGGTCTGTCTTCCTTATAGCATATTTGATTTTTGCCATTTTCCCTGTCGTTTGATATACCATGACTTCATAGTTCTCCCAAGGAATTAAAGCAAACCGTGAGTCTTGATATGTTTTGAGATTTTTAAATAACTGAACCTTGAGAAATATAAAAGAAATAGTTACATTAAGTAGATAATGTCATTGATATAAATTTTAGGTTATTATTGACAGTATTTTTATAATATCAAGATATAAGACCCTGCATAGTTGAATATGTCTTATATTTCATTACTCTGCATTGATAGCTTTCATGATTTGTTCTTATGTTGAACTAACTTCATCAACCACAAAAATTAAACCATATACTTCAAGAAGAGCAACCATTTTAATTATACAACTATAAATTCAATATTTTTTATCATCTTTCTTTCCAATAAGTTTGCTTTCGTTCTTAGGCAGAACTCTGCATAAATTAGATCCTGATGAATACATATTATTCACACTTGCAAAGGCAAGAGACATTTAGTACAGTACTTGGTTTTCAGTAGCACAATAGTTTCTAAAAGTAACATAGACATCCTTAAGACTTTAGGTTCTGCCTGCACAAAGTCTTTAAAGTGTTTGAAGTTTTCTCTTACCCCAGGTACAGCAAATGCAGGTTTGGGAACACTGTGAAAAAGTGTAAATGAGGCTGTTTTTATCCAGGTATTTCACTGTTGATCAAGCCCAGAGATATTCCTAAGGGATTATACCTCAATTATCTTCTGGTCCACAATAGCAACATAATGATTTCCTTCATAATTGAAAGTGTAAATGTCTCAGAATAAGGCCCAATTTGCTGTTTTTTATTGAGTAGTATACTTCATACTCTGTTTAAAAGTTTTGCAGTTGTCATTTAAAAATTTTTTATTAGTACATCTTTTCAGTACATTACAATGTTTAAAATATTTTAGATTTGCATTTCCCTGATGATCAATGATACTGAATACATTTTTTATAATTCTATTGACTACTTTTTCATTGAAGAAAAGTAAATTCAAGTCCTTCGTCTATTTATAAACTGGGTGTATTCTGCTATTGAGTTTCAAAGGTTTCTTACATATTTTCATTACTAATCCCCTACTAGATCTGTGGTTTAAAATATTGTCTTCTGTTTTTTGGTTTGCCTTTTCACTCTGCTACATTTTTTTCTTTGATATGCAGAAGGATTTCATTTGATTTGGTCTTACTCCTCTAATTTTGCTTAGTTGCTAGACTTTGATGCCACATCCAAGTGAACACTGAAAGCCCAAAGTCCTGGATATTTTCCCTTAAGATTTACAATCAAGACTTATGTCTACATCTTTGGTCCTTTCTGAGTTGATTGTTTATATGGTATAGGTGGGGTTCTCATTTCATTCTCTTGCTTCTGTACAGTTTTGACCACGTCATTTTTTGTACTTAATCTTCTTTCCTTGTTTGTGTTGAAGATCAGCTGACCGTGTACATGCGAAATTGCTTCTTTGCTGTCAGTTGGGTTCCATTGCTCAAAATATCTTCCTTATGCAAGTACCACAGCCTTTTAATATTTCTTTCATTTACTTAAATAAAACTTGTTTCATTTAATGTATTAAAAATTTTATTATATTAATTTAATTTAATTTTATGTACCATCCTATGGTATCATTGTATTTTTCTACACATATGCATATTGTGTAATGTATAAAATCGGTTAAGCATTTTACCTCAAACATGCACCATTTCTTTTTGATGAAACATTCACAATGATTTCTCTGTTTTTAAATTTTTGAGTTCATTATTCCTTTCTGTCATCACCTTGCTGTGTGGTAGGATGACAGAAATCCATTTTCCTATCTAACTAAGGTATCATTTACACTGATCAACATTTCTTCATCTCCCTCTCACTGTTCTCCCTGGACTCTGGTAATCACAATTCCACTCTCACTTTATGAGATCGATATTCACATTCCACGTAGGACTGATGAAATGTGGTTCCTGGCATTAGGAGCCTGGTTTGTTTCAAATAACACGTTTGCTCATTTCCATCCATGTTGTCATAAGTGATAGGATTCATTCATTTTTCTGGTAACTAGTATTCCACTGCATATATGTACCGCATTTTCATTACACCATCACTATTTCATGGACGCTGAGGTGTCTTCCAGCCCACACCTTTTGTGAAAAGCGCTGCAATGAATGTGGTGGTGTGGACGTCTCCTCCCCACTCCCTCATATGGATTTCATTTTCTTTTCATAATACATATCCACTGGAGAGGGAATGCTGGGTCATACGTTAGATGTACACTAATATCTCAGTTCATGATTGCTTCTGTTCATCAACAATTTGGTTTGTGAACAGAAGCATTTAGCAAAATTTTGTTTCTGCTTCCAAACTCAAAATTTGGTGATGAATACGATCCCAGCCATCACGTTCCTTCCCCATCGGAACAAGACCGTGGCCATCTTCCCCACTCTGATCCTGGCTGCCTCACAGAGAGACCCGTGCACACTTGTGAAGCTTACTTATGTTCTTGTTAGCGATGTAGCACTATCTAGTATTATTCAATCCAGCATGGCTCCAAAGAAAGTGCAGAGCATGCCTGGTGGCAAAAAGGTAGTACAGAGTGGTAATGAAGGTGACACAAAAGTGCAGAGCAATAATGAAGTTAACAGAAAATGCAGAGCAAGAATGGTAAGAAAGTTTTGAAGAGAATTCTGAGTATGACTTCAATAAAGTCAAGTCCCCTACCCCTCACAGGACACCCCTTCTGCACCCCATGGACCAATAGTGAGTGACCTGCAACTCCAAGAAGCTAAACTTTCTGTGTTCACACACAGCAGAAGGGTCGGGTGTATCCTTCTGCCCTCATGAATTCCACACATCTTTTTCGGGGGAATTTAACAGGCCTAAAATCCACAAAAAAATGAAATATATATATATATATATTATATATATATTTAATCCATGTCAGAATATTAAAGGTTAGAATTTCTTTACTTGATGAATATGTTTTAAACTTAGCCTCATCTGCAGATGGCTTGCAGATGAGGCTGATCTTCAGGGGTCCAGAGCCTCACTATTCAACATTAACTGTAGGCCAAATCCACTGTTCTTTCACACAGCTGAGGAAGTCAGGGACAGATCACACAGCCTGGCTGTGGTATAAAAATGCTGAGGAAGGAGGAAGAAAAGTTGGTCAGTATTACCCTTCCCCCAACTTGAAATTTGTGCAAAGCAGAAGGAATTGAGGCCAGGCCTTAGATTAAAAACCCGGTACCCAGCATGCCACAGCAAATCCTGTTGGTAGGAAGAGCCCCAGGGCCTACCTGCAGAGCATCAGTCTAAGCCTAGAACCGACGCAGTCACAAGGTGAGTCTGTCCACCACATGTAGGTCTCTACTCCATGCCAGGGATGCTCTGGGGGCTTGGTCTCTGTGCCCTGGTTTGGTCCGGTGCCTTTTATTTTCGTCCTCATGCTGGTTCTCGCTGCCATGGGCCTGGAATTGAGCTTGGAGAGAGACCACCTGCTGACTTTAACCTTGCTCCCCAGTGGGTAGAGTCTCACATCCTACTCTGCTTCTGAGGTTGGAGAAGGTGGCAGGGGCAGGCTATGTTCAGCTCACATTATGCAGATCCAGGCACTCAGGCTGCTCTCTTTATACAGACACTCAGGTAGGGTTGGGGTCTTCCTACCCATAGACTCTGTGGTCTGTCACTTGGCTTCCACTCTGCCTTCCTGTTTGGAGAAGAGAACTATGTGAAGAACATGGAGAGCCCCTTCAAAGCAAAAGCAGAGCTACTGCAGCAGGAATATACGACGAGAGGAGTGCTCTGCACATATGATGCCATGTCATTCTCTGATCAGTGCTTTCCTTTTAAAAAATTCTGAAGCTTAAGTATCATCTTGATAAATGTTGGAGACCATCTCCTGTCTTTTGGGAGGAAGCAAATACTGGGCTTTCTGCCCTGTGTCTAGGTGACACAGTAAGAGAGGATGAAAATCATCCCAGAAACAACACCCAGGAATTTTGAATTATTATTGGTGCTATCTGAATCTCAGGCTAGAATCAGACTGCTGCAAATGTATTGACCTAAACGTGGAACAGGAGTCAGATTAAGGGTTTCATGAAAAGTAGTCTAAGCTTAAAAACATCTCTAGTTTTGTTACTGAATAGGTGATATTTAAGCAAGCTAGTCAGATGTCAATTGTACACAACTGCAGGTGTATCAATTGTGGGGAATTACACAATTTAACTTTTGTAAGGGGCAAAGATAGCATGGTACAATTAGAAAGAGTGCATGTAACTATACTTCTCTGCAATGGTATACACATGTGTGTAGACACATACATATATATGCACATATACGTGTATTTACATGTTGAAGTGTAAACACCTGAGTACCTCAGAATGTGTCTGTATTTAGAAAAATACTGCTTCAAGAGGCAATTACTTAAAATGAAGACTATTGTTTGAGCTTTAATTGAATGTGCCTGATGTCCTTATGAGAAATAGGTATTTGGATAACAGACACATACAAGAAAATGACTACGTGAACACAGAAGTTTAAAGAATAAGCATCAAAAAAACCACAGAGACAAAGCTCAAAAGAAATAACCCTGTTGAACACCTTGACTTAGGACATCCACACTCCAGAACCATGAGAAAATAAATTCCTGTCACGTAGGATATGCAGTCTTGGGCAGAGCATGGTGGCGTATGCCTGAATCTCAGCCCCTGAGAAGCCAAGGCAGGAGGCTGGTTGGGAGTTTGAGAGCAGTCTGGGCTACATAGTGAGACCAAAAAGCCAAAACAGAAAGAAAGAAAGAAAGAAAGAAAGAAAGAAAGAAAGAAAGAAAGAAAGAAAGAAAGAAAGAAAGAAAGAAAGAGAGAAAGAGAGAAAGGGAGAGAGAGAGAGAAAGAGAGAAGGGGAGAGGAAACAGTCTGCTATGATTCTTTGGCAGCCCTGTCACACTAACAAAAATCAGCATCAACATGTATGTACGTATGTGTGTTAGAGGCATATGTGTGTCTGTATTTAATAAGAAAAGGATTTTTTACATTTAGAAAGTACTGTAGGGATTGACTATGATCTTTATTTTAAAATACTCAGTAGCAAGTATAGAAAAATCCATGACTGTATGTGACCAACTGATTTGAAACAATGAATTAACATGTTCTAGAAACACTAAATGTCACTCTTTATTTTGCCTCTATAATAAATCTAAATATGAACATAAAATTAATGTAGATGGGGAGGTAAAAGGGAATAAAAGGAATCTAAAAAGATGTGCTAAATGCACGTACCTACTCCCTAAAATGGAAGTTAGCATTATGTGTGGCAAACTTGTGCTAATTAAATTAAATTAAATTGAAATCTTGTACAAAAGATTGAAAAGGAATTAATGATCTAAGTGAATGCATGACCTCAAGAGCTAACACCTCCACAGAATTATGATAAATTAGATGCACAGATTTTTAATATTTAGTGCTCAGTGTTAAAGAGTCATTTAACCTTTACACACAACTTTCCTGCAAACTTTTTTCATTGCCCTTTTCACATATTTGTTTCTCAAAGTATAAATGACAGGATGGAAAATGATGATGGCATAAAATATGGACACCACCATGTCACACTCCAAGGCACAGCTAGTACTTGGTCTCACGTACATGAAGAGTGTTGTCCCGTGATAAATGGGCACTCCGGCAAGGTGGGAGCCACACGAGGAGAACACTTTCCTCCTCCTTCAGCAGAACGCATCCTCAGAATGGCCAACAGGATGAAGCCATAGGAGATGAGGACAATCAGGATGGTGACCACCTCAATGGAGCTCACAAAGAGCAAGAGTAGAAGCTCGTTGATATGAGTGTCAGAACAGGAAATAGCGAGGAGAGGAGGGATATCACAAAAGATATGTCTAATTTCATTGGACCCACAGAAGGAGAGGCTGAAAGTGGCCCCCGTGTGCACAATAGCGTGAAGAATCCCCCCAACATAGGAGGCGATGTTGAGCGGCACGTAGACCCTGGGCGTCATGCTCACGGAATACAGCAGGGGGTTGTAGACGGCTTCATACCGGTCATAAGCCATTGCCGCCAGGAGAAAGCATTCTGTGGTCCCCAAACTAACAGCAAAAATGACTGTGTCACACATCCATAGAATGGGATCATTTTATTCTGAGTCACCAAACCTACTAACATTTTTGGGACGATATCTGAGGAATAGCAGACATCCACAGAAGACAACACGCTGAGAAAATAGTGCATTGGGTTGTGCAGCCGGGAATCCTCAATGACCAACACAATCAGTCCTATATTTCCAACGAGGGTGAAAAGGTAAATTGCAAGAAACAAGCAAAAGAGGATGGTCTGCAGGTCAGGACTGTCTGTGAGCCCTGTAAGTATAAATACAGTGACTTCAGTGATATTCTTCATGCTGAAATTGCCTACAACAGACCTGAAGATTTTCAGATTTCCGTTCATGGTACTCTGAAAATAATGAACAATAAACAATACTGTGAGTTGAAGGAATATGAGTTATGCCTTCGTATTTATTTCTTGGCAATGTATGATGCCCAAGCAGTTTATCAGGAGCCAGTTATAAGATACCATGCTACTGATGGAGACTCAGATGAAGGTTATAGGTGTTCACTCTGTTGTGAATAGTACTTCAAGTACCTCTACTTAGGCAGTTTGTATCTTACAGTATTGTGATTATGTATCTAGGAGTGGAATTTTGGAGCAATATATTACTTCCACGTTTGTCTTTATGAGAACCACTGGAACTTTTTCCAGCAATTATTAATCCATTTTGGCTTAACATTAACATTGTGTAAATGTTTCAGTTCTTCATGTTCTTCATAACATTTGTTAATTCAAGGTGGTTTTTCTCATACCATTTCTGTGTGAGGTTGCATACCAGTATTTTTTTCATATTTTTGAGTGAAACGATCATAGAATTCCCATAGCAAAGAAATAATAGTTAGAGCCAGGTAATGGCAATATATGAATATGAAAATTTTCTGCACAGGAGAGGAAACAATTGACAGAGTGAAGATACCACACACAGAATGGGCAAAATACTTTGCCCACTCTTCCTCAGAAATAGATTAGTATCTAGAATATATAAATAGCACTGAACGGTTGACACAAAAAATAAATGCTCCGATCAAAAATGGGCGAATGAAATGAAGGGACACTTTTCAAAAATAGAAGTTGAAATGGCCAATAAGTACATTAAAAATCCTCATCTTAAGGCATTAGGGAAAGGAAAATCAAAAAACTCTTAGCTTCTATCTCACTCCAGTGAGAATGGCCATGCACAAGAACAAAAAAGATAAAGATACTGGCAAGGATATGTGAAACTAAAGAACCTTCTACACTATTGGTCAACACATAGGGTAGTAAAACCACCATGGAAATCCGAACGGAGACTCTTCAAAAAATTAAAAGCAGAGGGGCTGGGGATTTAGCTCAGTGGTTCCACCACCTGCCTCTCAAGCACAAAGACCCAAGGTTGATCCCCAGTAGCAAAAAAAAAAAAAAAAAAAAATTTTAAATAGAATTTACATGTGATCCAGCTATTCCCCTCCCAGATAGTTTCCCAAAAGAGTTAAGTCATCATGCTGTAGTGATCAATGCGTATCCATGTTTACAGCAGCAGAAATCACAAGAGTTAAATAAAAGAAACAGCCTAGATGCCCCTTAATGGAGATATGCATAAAAATGCAGTATACACACCAAATAGAGTTCTACTTTGCCATAAGAGAGAACAATTCGTATATTTGTAGGAAAATGAAAAAGACTGAGACCATAATGTTAAATGAATTGAGACATAAAGTTAAGGATTGCATGGTTCCTTTTGCATGAACAAACTAAGATACAAATAATTTAAAGTATAAGATACAGCACAGTTGGTAGGAAACAAACAGCAAATTGTTTGAGATGAGGAAGGGGAAGAGGAAGGGAGAGGAGGGAGGGTGGTGGATAAAGGACAATAAAAATGACCAAGATACAATTTATAGGGGCCACTTCGCCCAAACGAATGTGATTATTATGTATCACAATCACAACAACTAAAACCATGACAGCCCTTCTTGGGTCCACATCCTCATGCCCTCTTTGAACCCTGTTTTTTTCTCACTTGCACAAACTCTAAATACATTCAACATGTGTATTTAGTGATTCCATTTCCCCCACATGAACATCAGAGTGCTGCATTCAGATCAGAGCAACACACAAAACATGTTGCTGCTCTTTAATTTTGTTAAAGCCAAATTATTTATTTTTTCATTTGTTTCTTGTGTTTTATTTTTGATTTATTTCCCTTATTTAAGGATTCATTACCAAAACTGTTGGCATGAAGTCACATGTATCTATGTGAAGACATATGTATAGTGAGGGGGGACAGCTTATTTGCATGGGAACATCTAGTTGTCTGAGTACTGTAAATTCTCTTTAATCACTGTTTGAACTC